TCTATTCTATTCTATTCTATTCTATTCTATTCTATTCTATTCTATTCCATTCCATTCCATTCCATTCCATTCCAACCCCGAGCTACAAATATTCTCCTTTATTGGTACCACATATGGATCTCAAATGCTTCAGAAAGCATGCAAATGGGAAAAATTGATTGTAAGCACATTTCCACCCAGAAACCACTTTTCTTCCTGCATGAATATCTAAATGGCACATGCAACCTACCTACCTACCTACCTACCTACCTACCTACCTACCTACCAGTGTCAGATACAAAGTCATGTTTTAACCACTTTTTGGAAGGCCAGGAGAATGGGGCTTTCTTCGCCTTCTTTCATACAGCTACACAGGCTCAGTGGCTTAATGAGCTAGAGATGGTCTTGACTCTGGTGGTTAGTGTCCTAGCACTGTGTGGCAGGGTGAGCTCCTGTCATTTGCCTCAGCTTCTGTCCATATAACAGCTTGAAAGCATGTTCTATGCAAAAGCCACTTTGTTGGGGTGACGCGTTGGTGCTCCATGCCTGCAGTCAGATTCCTGATGACTCCGAACCTTCCCAGTTGCAGTTACTGACTGTAAGGCACCTCTTCCAGTGGGGGGCTTGAGTGACATTGCAGGGAAAACCACGCATCTTTAGCTTTGGTGTGAAGCCAGCTCGCCCTCCTGTGGCACACCTTGGGAAGTGTGCAAGCATGTCAGACAACAGGGCTGGTACCTTGGCAAGCCAAACTGCTACTCTGGACTTGCATTGTGGGCTCCTGGCTACTGTAACAATCCCATATGCTAATAATAATAATTCATACAGCTGTAAAAATTCTGCCTTTTTCTCCTGGTGCTTGCTTATGAGCATGAGCTTCTGGAATTCCTACTTATTATTTTAGTCCCTGGTTTATTGCTTTCCGTTTTCACACATATATTGTATTGAATGGCTTTTTAATTGCATGTCACCCAAAGTAATTTTTAGTTGGGCGGCCTATAAATGTGAGCTATAAATAAATGAAACAATTGCAAATCACATTGCTTCCTGTGGGAAGGTGTACACTGCATATGTATGTACAGGGATATATATATATATATAATTCAGCTTTGTTTGGGTATTTTCCCACGTCATTATAGTTGTGCTTTTAAAGTTGTAGCAACATTTCGGCAGAATCTCATCTGCCATTATCAGGCTTCTGTAGACCAACACTATACAGACGAACACAATACAGAAGCCTGATGATGGCAGATGAGATTCTGCTGAAACATTGCTACAACTTTAAAAGCACAACTATACATATGCTTTTGAATATGTATTTATAGTTTATATGCTTTTTCATGAGAAGATCTACCTATGTGGTTACTAAGAGTTGAAAATTCCTTGATGGCACCTAATAAATAAATCACAGTTTATATAAACATTAAGTTAAATTTATATATCCAGAGTCAGATCATCAAAATAAACTTAGATGCAGGCAAAACAACCACTTTCAAAATATGTGTGTGTGTGTGTGTGAGAGAGAGAGAGTGTGTGTCTCTCTGTGTGTGTGCGTGCGTGTGTATCTATCTATCTATCTATCTATCTATCTATCTATCTATCTATCTAT